GGGGGTTCCGTGTCATTTACGTGTCACCAGCTCAACTAAGAACTTGTTTTGCAATTTCCCAACTTAAATATGACAGCCTGAATTTTGTCTTAAAGGGAAACGACGTTTTCATCGAGACACAGTCTTGGTGTGCCAAATATCAACCAAAACTGATTTGTCTCCTGAAGCCTAAAAGATGGCATCCCTTTGTTTACAGCAATGTACATTGACCTCCGGAGGAATGTTGCTTTGTTTAGTTAAGTGCCAAGTGTTGTGTTCTCCATTCTTACTTCAATTGGTGTAATTAGCATTAATTTTTTTTAAAAGGGTGTTCAATTGTTTTTGTGTCACTAGAACGTATCTAGATGGTGTAGAGCAGGGGTGTCAAACTCATTTTTGTCGCGGGCCACATCGTAGTTCTGGTTTCCCTTGGAGGGCCGTTATGAATTTTGAGAAACCATATCAATGTTTAATGACCTCCACATCTTACATACACAGCGCACAACAAATTGATGAATAACTAGTTTTAAAATCAGAAGTCAAGAATAATGACTCTTATTGTGGATTTCATATGACAATTTGAAATTTTGGTTCCGACTTTAGCAAGCATCATGGAACTTGACATGCTTGATTTGCTTTCGCGGGCCGCAAAAAAATGATGTGGCGGGCCAGATCTGGCCCCCGGGCCTTGACTTTGACACCCGTGGTGTAGAGTTTACAAGGCCGATTGCAATGAAGCAGCGGGTTGTGACTCTGATTGTGTTGTTCATACATGTATTTACTTGTGGATTTAATTTGGGCATTTTTGTACTTCTCATGATGTTAAGTTGACTGCTCTAATTTTCCAACCAGGTTGGGATTTTGTGAATGTGAACCATTTTGATCATGTTTGTGACCTGAACCTGGAACACTGTTGTTGTGGATCACTCACTTTCAGTACATTCAGTTCATATTGTGAGAAAGGAAGAATGAAGAGAGGCAAAGAGAAATGATTTGTGTTCTTTTTTTTCCCCCCTCCGTTTTCCACATCTCATTTTACGCAAAGTGACGGACTTGAGTTTGCCCATCACTATTAAAAGTCTTGCTGGAGGCACTGCAAGCTATTCAGACTGCGTGATCTTTATCCCCGGCATATATTAAATCGTGTTTCTCGAAAGCCTTTGAGACAATACTGTTCCATACGGAACGGTCCTTCCAGAATTGGAGGTCATTTTCTGTACCCTGCGAAATGTCATCCATTGCAACAAGGCAACTGACTATCGAGCTTTAAGAAGTGACTTCTGAAATCCAAATTCGCATAAAATCCAACGTTTTATTTTCCAAGACGCTTGTGCGGCTTTTCGAGCTTTATGTCGTTTCACGTGGGTAGCAAGATTTCTGACGGCCCCTGAAGGCACCGCGAGGACGCGCTGCCCCCAGCGGTTCGCCGGTCAGCACTTGTGAAACTTCTCCGGATTGTCTGCATCTTGTAACGCCGAGATGGATGTCCTGAAGTCGGCCGGGAAAGCCATTATCCGAAGACCCAGTGTGGCTAAACAATCCTGGACTGCCAGAAGACACAAAAGTAAGTTGGTGTTTTTTCCCCCTTTAATCTGAATAAAAATAAAGTGCTCATCGTTAGATTTGCATCACATGAAAGTATTTTGGTTCTCTTGTGAATTAGTAAAATCCCTAAATGTGTTGCTGAGCTTTTCTACTTTAATGTGCAGACGGTAACCCCCTTCAAGAGTGCTCCTTTAAATAGTAAATAGATTTTCCTGATGTAGTCACTTGCTATTTATTGCCTAGTTGTTGAGTATACTTTTTTCAATTACACACACACACACACACACACACACACACACACACACACACACTTCCGTTTGACTGATGTAAACGGAGAGGTGAGGGTCTCCAATAGAGCAGCCATTGATTTCAGTGTTTTGCTCAGGGGTCCTAGGCACGTTCAGTGAACTAAATTGCACTTGATCTTAATTAGTAAGTCCTCTAAAAAGTATAGAAAGCCTCAACGCTTCCTTGCGTGTTTGGCACAGCTCCCGGTAGAGATCCTCAAACAATTTTCAGTTGTTTTGGTCTAAAAACAAACATACAAACAAATAGAGAGACTTTCAATCTTGAGGTGACATAATGCGGCAAAGCTCGCACAAATTCAGGCTGAGCCCGGAGGTACATGACACTTCTCAGACAGGGAAAGAGGAAAAAAATTGCCCTCAACCTCTTGTCAACACTTCAATAATCAATATTGTTTTTGATCATTTGATGTTTTTGATCATGCGTAAGCATTTATTCGAATACTAATTCAACTTAATCTATGTAGCGAAACACGGTTGCAAATCAAGACTCTTTTTGTAATCCAGATTTTCTCCATGGAAGGAATTTCATGCTAATCGTATTGTTCAAAGTGATGATTAGCGGAATTAAGGCTTCCTGGTAAATGCGGCAAGTGACCCACTTGTTGTCGAAATAACACATTACAGTACAGGATTGGGCTCCTGGGAACAAATTCCTCACCAGCGCCGACCCGTATCGACCGTCCCAGACCCTCTCAAGTTGCCTCACGTTACAAGGAACTACAATGGCTGACTTTATTTATGGGGGGAGGGGGGGTCATGAGCACATACTAAACAATACTGGCTGTTTATCAAGTTCAGCATGTATATCCAAGAACCATCAAGTAGTTTTGCTGCAGCGGCCCTCATCCACCACCTCAACTTGGATTGGTAAACATTGTGCCTCGGTTGCATACATTTACTTTGACTTATGCTATGTTTGAATGTCTGTTTAAACAAACAAACAAACAAACAAAGAAAAGAAGGAAACATTTGGCGCCAGGGGTGTATGGACACAGTTGACGGTTTCCGTGGAGATTGCGCGTTTAGCCAACTGCCTACCATTTTGGAGCGGCGTGGAAATAGATGGGCCAGAGTCTAAATTGATGGAAAAATAATATTGGCTTGCTTCTATGCCACTCTTTTTTTGTTTCGCATTTTTTTTCTTTACTACTGTGTGAATTTATTTTTGTTGCTAGCACATGTACGCTTTGTTTGCATTGGTTTGTTTTGTGTCTCAGTCCATGTGGTGCTGTTGCTGCCTTTCCTGTATGATGATGTTACTGAAGTGCTAGTGCCACTCTTGTTTAGAGAAAAAGCGGCACAACCTCCAGCCATCCGTGTTCTAGAGCGCTTGTCCTCATTAAGTCGCGAGTCGGCTGACTTTGGCGAGAGTACACCCTGGACCAGTCGAAAATGCACAACAATTTTATATTCTGTCCATTAGTTTCTTCCTTAGTTTGGAGTTATCCCTCCACCCCTCCACCTCACACACACTCCCCCAGAACACCCTTTGCTCCCTTTTTTCTTGCTCTGGAGGTATATAAACAAAGTTTCAGGGTCAGGGCCGGGTGGTATCAGAACTGAGAAGAAAGTGCACAGCTGCTCCTTCAGCAGTGACTCGATGCGCCTCACTTTTCTCAACTTGTGGCTGTTGTTTTACTTTCTGCAACGTAATGACACACACGCCCTCCATGCTCCCGACTCTTTGACATTAACGGCCGGGGACTATAGGTTGGTTTTTTTTTTCGATGACACAGTTCAGGAACTGATTGAATGGCAACCGGATCCCACAAACGTAGACACAAATCCATCCCAAAAATATTGAATAACAAAAGCGCACCAACAAAGCATAAACAGACATTGCTGGTCAAGAAGAACCAGGAAAAAGAATACATGAAGAAAAAGAGCTTGCAAAGGCAAGGAAATAGTAAATCCGAGATTATAAACGAAATGAATCTCGTCCAATTTCGCAAAACAAAAACATGAGCAAGAACAAAGAGAAAATAACATAAAAACAAGGCGAGAGACTGGAGAGCAAAGACGACAAAGATGAGGTCGAGAGATCTAGAAAACAAGACTTGCGCAAGAGCAGCAACAAGGTCAATCATCCGACAGAGACACGGGCTCTTGGCAGTCTTGAAAAATTTGGCTAACCTGATGACGAAATTGGCAGCAAGTGGACATGCTGGATGGAAGGCCCTCCTCTGCACGCCCTCCCACCAGATAATGATGCCCCCCCCCCCGCTCCCTCCCCTTTAGGAGCAGTGAGCAGATGAATCGGCTCAACTCAAGTTGAATTTCTTTTCCTTTTTTCCAATGTTCAGACTTCAGTTGCCAATTTTAGGACTTGAAGCTTGCTTGACAAGAACCTAACTTTGACTTCAAGTCCATCACTTAAAAAGTATGAGTTGAAAATCGGCATTTAATTTTATTTTTTACCTGATGAGAAGTGCAGAGGCCGCCACCTCATTGATGAGGTATAACAACGATGACATCTGACCTAACCTACCGCTACAAAAAACAAAGCTTCGCATCAGTTATGTGTTCCAGTGACAAAGTCATAAATAATGTTAAAACCAAAATGAGACTTAGTCCCACTTGTAACCGTGATTGGAAAACAGAATCGTTCGTTGATTTGCTTACATTTGATTTGACATTGGGAAGAGCTTCCAGAGAACTGGACGGACACGAGAGAGACCATCTTGGAGGGGATGACCTTTAGCCTCCGTCACCTCGGAATGACCTTAGTGGACCAGCCCAAAGGCGAGGAACTGGCGGCCGCCGCGGTGAAAAGGATCGTTGCCACAGTAAGAGCGAAATATTTGCTCCATTGCTTTGCCTTGCTCAAATGATACGTCGGGGTTTGTTCATTCGGAGAAAATTCTGTCCGTTGCCACCCAGAAGGACGGGAAGCGTGTCGTCATCCTGATGTCATTTTAAATTCATTTAGTATTATTTTTTTTGTGCGTGGCAGGGAAAAATCTGTGGGAAGAAAGTGCAGAAAGTCTACCTCAAAGTGACTCCTCAAGGCATCACCCTCTATGACAGTTGCACCAACAACTTCATGGAAAACATCTCCATATACAGGTGCGTGTGCAGAGCTGCCAGCTTTTGTCATCCCCGCGCTACGTATGTCCTAACTTCTCACCGCCGCACTGCAGAATATCCTACTGCGCGGTGGACAAAGTGCACGACAGAGTGTTTGCATTTATCGCCCAAAACACCCTCAACGGGACGTTGGAGTGCCACGCCTACCTGTGCTCCAAGAGGAAAGAGGTGCGAACGGTGCTCTCCATACGTGCTCACTCAGTCGTTACAATTGCTTGACATGAACTGGTTGTTATTCAAATGTTTGGACGGTTTCTTCCGTAGGCACAGGCTGTAGCCCTGACAGTAGCGCAGGCCTTTGGAGTAGCCTTTGAACTGTGGCAAGTCACCCGAGAAGGTAAGCCTTCGACTCCTTGCGGTAGACCCGTCCAACGGAGACATGACAACATGAGAGTCCTTAAATAGTCGGCTGATTACATTGGTAGCAGGTGTGAGAGCTGGAGGGACGGCCCTCCTCTGCCACCTGCTGGGGAAACACAAGAACAGCAGCATGACAATTCTGATCATAAAAGACCTCGAATATCCTTTGGTGTCCGTGTTTTAGAGAAAGGAGGGCGAGTCCAGTCCGGTTCAAGCGACGGGCTCAGCAGCTGCTCCAGTTCCGAGAGATCCCCCGGCCCCAAAGGTGAAACTGCTGCCACCCAGAACCAAACCATAAGGACGCATTGCGCTCTATTTTCGTGACCGGTCAAAGTCACTCACTGCTCCTGAATGATTTGATATCGACAATGATTCAAAGGGTTTGATGCCCGCTGCTGTCATATTTATGAGTGAGATACATCTGACATTCACGTCACATGTCAGCAGAGCTCAGACTCCGTCTGCCCGTGGGCCCATCAAATTCCTCCAAAACCAATTCCGCATGTGCCGTCGATGAAAAAAGAGCCGGTTATGTTCAAGGAATGCCACCTCTGACACTCTACATTAAAATGGAGAATTGTTGTCTGACCTGCAAGACGTTGCCCCGGTCGACCTGTTGGACGCTGAGACCAATGAGAACGTCGATCAAGTGGACAACCACGGGACATCTGAGAGGAACGATAATCCAGCCTGGGTAAAATATAGCGACGCACACTTATACACAGTTACTTCGTGATGTCTGAGGAGATAAAGCTTTTTTTTTTTTTTTTTTAAATTTTCAAATGTAGGCACTAGAAGATGACTTGGACGAAGCCTTCTCCAGGTGAGTTTGGTGTGTTAAGTGGTGCCAGTATTTAGCTAAACTAATCCTTGGTAATCACCATTCACCCCCGAGCCCACCCCAATAATAAAACCTGCTTCAAAATATTCTCATATTGTAGTTGACACTTATTTTGCTCGGCCCCTTGCTGTTGATTTTTCTGTGTACTACGACACAATGAAAACCGAGGCAGGAGTTGAATCAACTACAAATAACGGCTGGAATAGAACAAATAAATACAGGATTCCATAGCTGTGTACACAGCCCTGTTCAAATGTCAATGTTTTGGTGACATGTCCCCAAAAAAATTCTCTTTCCTGGTTTGCAAAACTCAACTTCATTGAGCACTTTAAAACCCACCATAGGACGCACAACACAAACCAAGAGATGATAAGGTTTCTTAAATACTTCATACACAGCAATGTACAAAACCGCCACACAAAGTATATATACCGGTATATATATTTTTTTGTCTTGTTAGTTTAACTATTATAACAAGCTCAACTTTGGTATGTTTGTGTCTCCAGCTGTGCTGCGGACAGCTCGGGTTCACTTCCAGGTGACGTTGAGTATTGCTGTCAACAGTTTTGTATCCTAATTTCGATCATCAACGCAAATCACTTTGCACCTCCAAAACACCGTCGCATGTGCTCTTTGCTAGCTTTCATGCTGTGACTCGATTCATTTTGCTGAAAATTCCTCCAAAATGAGAACAAAAAAAAAAAAAAAAAAAAACGGATTAATTCTTCCGTCGGGCAATAATAACTAATCTGATTTGAGTTTGGGTTCAGGAAAAGGGAACTGAACCTGTTGCTATCGATGTTGTCTTTACATGTAACTTTTGAATTGTCCCCCTAGACTGGCCGAGTCACGTACTCACTCCCAGATCTTGGACGTTGGGCTGATGCCCCAACGCTGACTGTTTGAACCCGCCTGGCATGGTGCCAAATGGCAACGGAACCCCCCCGCCGCAAACCCCCCAAAACACCCTTTTTGGGAATGACTTCCTCAGCATTTACACAAGGTGCCGCTTCACATGCAAAGTGCACTTCACGAGCTAATGGGAATTTTGCTGTATTTATGTCTGCAACATGGGATGATGACAAAAAAGTCAATCAATCAATAGTTTATGTTAGAGATGGATTTGGGCCGAAGCAGAAAAGCAGCGGCTAGGTGAATTTTTTCAGCAAATATTGAAGGATAGGTTTCCAAATGCCAGGCTGCAAACATACCAGGTTGCCTGTTTTTTTTTTTTTTTAAATGTGATTATGACTAAATTATACCCACTGATTTGAAATAATAAAAGTAGTTCTGAAAAAAAAGTGTCATTTGAGCAATTCTGTCAGTCATCTGACCCTGGATGAGTGCATATATTTTACATGTTTTTCTTATGAACTGCAAGCGAATGGGTTGTCTATTTTTTTCCCCCCTCGGTCTTCTTCTATCTGCAACTAGTTGTTTTTATTTGATAGTTTTTCTGACGCGCTTTAGGCTCTACATATCATTGAAATAAATAATTGCAATCTGATTTGCTTTGGGAGAGTAAGCAAAGAACAGTTCTCTTAGTTCTCTTGCTAACATGCAGGTGGCGATGTTGTACCACAGGCAAGGGGATCAAGTGTGAAGTCATGTACAGTATTTATTTTTTTTTAATCTTTCATTGACAAGATCTTGCTTTCACGACCTGGAGATGTTGTCTTTTGTCTTCAAATGTCCACTGTTACTTTTTACTATTGTTATTTACTATTGTTGCTACTATTGTTATTCCTTTTTTTGTTATTGCTATTATCACTCCTATGACTAGTGAATCACTGTTGGAATTGTATGTCACATGAACTCGTCGGCACTCGTGTCAAATAACAATGTTGTGATGCAGCGCTGTAGTTTACCTGCTTACTCAAAGGCCAAAAATGGCACAAGAGCGGTCAGTCGAAAAACATCCCTTGGAAGACCGTCCTTTTACTGTTGCACTCGTGCTAGCGTGCTGAACGCCTGTCAGAACAAAGAGCATACTAATACACTTATCCTTACACACATGTCGTCTTGGCACATTATGTACTCGATTGTGGGAGGCCGAAAGTCACGTGATGGGCCTCACACTTGCTCGCTCTCGGTGAATCGGTGTGTCAGGGACATTGCGTCCCACTCTGCTTACTTAACCAACTGCATTATTAAACAGGCCTCCCTCACGCTTGGTTTCATGGAAGCGTGCAGAGAAGACCAGAGAGGGACTAGGAAGACCAAAAGAGCGCTTTTACTCTCAAGAGTACGGAAAAATGCTTCGAGCTGGAACTGTGTGGTGCATTTATATGTCAATGAGGTGCCGAGGACTCAAAGGTCAAGTGAGAAACGGGTTTCCAAAATGGCCCCGAGGCAGTTTTGTGTCTCGAGGTGGTTTTGTTTGTTTCGGTTTGTCTTTATTATTTTTTGCCAGAGTGACGCTGTCTCGCAGGGGTCCCCAACCTTTTTTGTGTCACGGACCAATTGAGACAAGTACACGCTGTTTGCGGACAGGCAACCATTTTTTTTTTCCTTTATCGCTTTTGAAGCACTGGTTCTGACAACAAAGATAATTCAACATTTTCAAAAATCATCATTCCTATCAAACAAGTTTTCCGACAGTAAAACGAATATTATAAAATAACATCGTTAACTACTATGAAATGGACCAATCAGGAATCATGCAAACGTCATCATTTTTAAGTGATGATCCAACATATGCCGTAAGTGTTATTGCTACCTGCAAACGTGGCTGATCAAAAGATGACACTATTCATTTTCATCTGGTGGTTGCTGGCTAGTTATTAGCAATAATAATAATGAGCAAAACGATAGTATAACAAGGCGTGGTTGGGGTCCCCTGCTGTATAGGACAAAATACATCTGCACACGCGAGGAACTCACGCACCCAAAAAGTCTTACAAATATGCAAAAATGGTACATTGAAAATATTTATTTCTTGTCGTACAGTACATACTTGGACATTCACATTTTCTTGGAAAATAGGATGAGCGTTTCACTTAATTTCCTCACCTGACCATGGAGAAAATTAACTCCAAAAAATGATTGAAGTTGATGTCGATATGTTTATTTCACGAGCGTGTTTTGCAATTGTGTCAACAATTGAACATAATGTGCTTAAAAAAAAGTGTTGTTTACACAACAACAGTAGTGCCGTCCATTTTGCCTCACTTCACAGAGACGCAAGACAAAGTGGAGCGGGAGGTGATGGCAAGCCATTTCAGCATTGGGGATATCCTACTAGTGCTTGTCCAGGTACTAGCATGCGCTTTGTCCTCACTGGTAAGATAATTCAACACACAAGGGGAACGCCTGTGTTCTTATTACTGCCTGATCATGTATGCGCACTCGGAGAAAGACTATGTCCTTTTCATACGACCATCTGACAGTTAGTATAATAACTGGGGCGCACTAGTACAAGTCAATCTGCTGGAACTAGTTGAATCATTGGGGCACAGTAGGATGACTCTAGGAACCACGAGTTGAATAAGTAGTGTGCACCGGTGACAACTATGACGAATGACGAAGCTGCACTAGTAGAACGACAATCTTACTGGTGCACCACTGCGGTGCCCACGAATCCTGAAAAGGGTGCACCAATAGAAATGTGAACATTTTTCATGTTGTATTTGCTTTGTAAGTAACATGTCGGAGAAAATTCTGTCCGTTGCCACCCAGAAGGACGGTAAGCGTGTCGTCATCCTGATGTAATTTTTCATTCATTTAGTATTATTATTTGTGAACATTTTTCATGTTGTATTTGCTTTGTAAGTAACATGTCAACATAACTGTGAATGTTTTTTTTTTTTTTTCCTCTTACAGAATATGTGCATACTATTTGGTATATAGTGGAATTTTCACAGCACGATTCTCCACCGGCTTTTGTAAATACATTTGGTTTCACTGAAGACCGAGAAGTCATACACAAATATACTGTAGATAGCATCGTATTCGATCACATCAATGCCGCGGTGCAAAACAAAAACAACTCAAGGTCAATCTTATGCCTACGCATGTATTATTCTCGAGGATGTCCTGACAGTACACTCAACCTGTCGCCATTCTGCATTGCAGCCATTTAAATGTTTCCAAGTAACTTCCGGACATCCAAGTGCATGGAAGCTCGTTGAAAAAGTAGTGAGATGTCGGTGTGTTGTTAAAAAAACAACAACCAAACCAAAAAAAAAAAAAAACCTTGTCATATTGTATTCCCCCAAATGTCAAGGGCACCCACAAGCCAGTAGGATGGAGGTAAGTGGTGGCAAAAAGATCAACTGAGGGCAGCAGCCGCAAAAACAAACCAAAAACAAAACAGATGAGACAATCAGGAAGTGTAAGCACAGCAAAGGGTGCTTTTGATCACATCCAATCCTCCATTGTTCCCTTGTTGGAAGCGTTTTGATTGCACTTGATCAGAAGTTTTTCGAACAGTTCTTCACTGTGCCAAGAGCAGTTGAACGTTGAATCTGTAGTCCAGCGTGTTTTGGCTGCGGAACGCATCTCAGGCTCTAAAGGAGAAGAAAATGCACTGGAAGCAATTTTATAATCATAGTTTTGATGGCTTATCGTCTCCCCCTCCCCCCGCCCTTTAAACCGATTCAATAGTTCACCATTAATCCTGCTTGCGAAGATAACTCTGGAATGTTTATAAGTCAACAGTGGAAGATTTCATTACCGCAGCCAAGGAGATTGTTTTCCTCCCCGTTTGCTTGTTAGCAGAATTACGACTCAAAATGGATTTACGCAAAACGGGAGGATAAAATTCAGCACATTACGCTGCAGATCCAAACAAAGGTGCAGGTGTTTTTTTTTTTTAATCCAATTATGTTCATGCAATGATTTAGCATATTTTCTCATAGATGAATGCATCTGAACGGTTATAAAGTGTGATGAATACATCAGCAGGATTCCGTTTGTATCATGCTTTCATTTCTATGCACGGTATATACGTATTTCTTTACATGTACCATCCACTTCCTGATTTGCTTATTTTCACGAGGGTGCAGGTCATGCTGGAGCCGATCCCAAATGTCGTCGGGCAGGGCTGCTACACCCTGAACCGGTTGCCAGATAATCGCACGGCGCCCATAGACGAACAAGCATTCACGCTCATAATCACATCTAAGGGCAATTTTGAGTGTTCCATTAGCCTGCCATGCATGTGCTAAGGAATGCGGGAAGAATCTGGAGTACCCCGGAGAAAACCCACACAGGCACAAGGAAAACATGCAAACTCCACACAGGAAGGCCGGAGCCGGAATCGAACCCTGCACCTCTGCACTGTGAGGCTGACGTGCTAACCCGTCGACTAGCGTGTCGCCACATTTAGATTCAGCTTAAAAAAAAAAAAACATGAAATGCGGTAAGGGCAGTAATCGTCACCTGTCCTGAGGTTTGAGGGTTTGAAGTTATTGCAGGGCGGGCAGACGGCGAGCGGCCGTTAAACGTTGCTGCGCAGGAGCCCTCCCTGCGGATGCTCGGGCGTGCTGCACTCCGACGAGTTCTTGGCCTTGTCTTTGTTGTTATTGGGCTCGTTGTCTTTGATGATGTCATACTGACGGCAGAACAGGGCAATCACGCCTGCGACACAAAGGCGGGGTTGAGAGTGTCGGAAGCCACCCGTGCAGACAGACGGGTCAGATTAAAAACGCAGCAGCGGAGGGAAGACAGAACGTGTGTGTGTGTGTGTGTGTGTGTGTGTGTGTGTGTGTGTGGGGGGAGATTGACACAGGCGGCGCGGGAGAGGAATAATTCATGATGGGGGAGTTACGTGGGCGGTGGAGGCAGGAGGCCAAGTTTCGCCTGACGCATCCGTCCACCTCTGCCATACCTTGAGGTCCAATTAAACATGGGAAAGCACAATCTGCCCTGTCAGCCTTGAAATACGAATGTCATCCTTTGCCAGTCTTCCCACCCCCCAAAAAAAATATCATTCCATCATCGTATTGCTTTGTAATAATCCTCATAATTTAACAGAATAATTATAATAATAAACATAATCACAATTTAATTTCAACAAAAAAAAAAAAAAAAATCATTCCATAATCGTGTTGCTTTATAATAATCATAATAATACAAAAATCTGTGTTGACAAATGGCAAGATATAATAATAAACATAATCACAATTTAATTTCAACAATTTGACAATAAAGTTGTACTTGACTTGACTTGATAATACAAAAATCGGTGTTGACAAATGGCAAGTAAAGAATGAAGCACTTTTTGCCACATTTTGTTGGCTTGGTTTCAATGGACATTGTGCGGCTCCTTCTGGAGTTGGCAATTTGGCAGAAGGCGGTCGCACTTGCTCAATAAGTCGCAGTAATACGAGTCATTTCCCATTGTTAAAGAACACATGCCCGTGAATGTCATCATAGTGTTTGTCGACATGTGTTGCGCCATTGTGTCGGTTAGCCCGTTTATGGTGAGATGCATTATTTGTTAGCATGAAGCTAAACAGACTTTACTGAGGCAAAGCTGTGAGGTTTTTGAATTGTCTCTGTTTCACATTTGGTTTGACGGTAAACTGGGAGCGGCAATAAACATGTTGAGGCATCTTTTTTTTTTCTGAAGAATTGTTCACTCTCGAACAAACTGCCCCTTGTTGTGACATAAGTTGAGTTCACCGCTTCCATAAAAGCGTTCGGATCATCGGAACGAGTGTCGGGTGGCAAGTCAAAGCGAAAGTAGGCCAGCTACAGATCGTCTGTGTCCGTACGCGGATCGGTCGGTTACCTGCCCACATGACAAGAACCACTGCGATGATGATGACCTCGCCCGCTCGGAGCTGAGCGGCCTGGCCCATTTCTTCCAGTGTGAGCTCGTCTGGGAAGAGAACATAAAGAAATGACTCCAAAGTCCTACCTGCTGCCCTTCCTCACGACTCTCACATGGACAAAAATATTGGCACAATGGATCATAACCGCAAGTGAAAAAAAAATGGACTTGCTGTCTTGCTCTTCCTGTACTTATGCAAAGCTTTTAAAGTGTATTTGAGACCGTTCTCCTCTCTTGGGGATATTTCTTTGAGATACGCCCCCCCCCGCCCCCCCTTGCCTCTCTTATCGCCCCGCCGCTGATGAGCGTTTAATATTTGCAAGGCCCCCTTCTGAAGCAGCCGCTCTTGACGTTCGAACTGGGTCGGCCCTGATAAAATTGGAAGCGGTGCATGCGGCGGCTGCAGATGAACCGTTTCTTTCCTCCGCATTTGCGAGGGAGGACTGGAGCCCGTACGTGAGGGTGGGGCTTACGGACGGCAATTGCGGTGCTTTTTTTTGGTGGTCAAATGTCAAATAGGCCTCCTTTTGAAATAAATTGGGTGGGGGGGGGCGGGGGGATAGTCGTTTTGATGTTCCTTTTCTCATGCTATTTTCTGTCCCTCACCTGGACTCATGGACGCCAGCTTCTCGGATTCTTTGGGGGTTCGGAAGAAAACGGGCTCACTGGGGGGACTGCTTCCTCCCATGCTTATGCTCTGCACGTGAACGATGTACTCGGTGTCCTCGTCCAGTCCCCACAAGGCACACGAGCGAGTGGTGGTGTTCACCTCCTGGATGAAGCGCAGCATGCGCACGTCCTTTTTCTGCCGAGCGGCGGCAAAGACATGAGCGAGGTTTTCGAAACGCTGTCACGTAAAGCGACGGGCTACTCAACTTGACGACAAAATAAGCTACAAGAGTAAAACATATCCGGACAAAACTCATCTCTGGTCCCTCGGCTAAAAACGTTCCGATGCGTAGAAAACCGTGGCTGGGCGCACCTGTTGTGTGACGGCAAATCCGATGACGGGGTCTCCCTCCGGAGTCTCCCATGTGACCACGGCCGAGTTGACCTCGATCTCCTTGATGGTCACATTGAGCGGAGCTGACAGCAGGCTGTCTGAGACGGCAAATAAAAGAAAAGAAAAAAAAGAAGATTTAATCAGATGACATGTAATATTCATGCCCGATATGACCACACGGTCACTCACTGTGTCAGATCATCGCCTCCCTGCCCACCGGGCGATCTTTCATTTCCGTTAATACTGAGCGTAATGAAGCACACCGAGACCTTTTGGCGAGTGCCGGCTTGCTCATTAGTCTTCTCATCTTCCTGCTTCCGCACGCGCATTTCCGTACGGCTGTTAAATGCTTTACAGGCAAAGCAATAATAATATGCAGCCATATTGTCAACAATAATAGCCTGTGGTCCTCAAGCAGGCTGATGAGAACTCTTTATAGTCAGCGCCGTTTTGATACGTTGGCAATGCATGAAGGAGAAATCTTTTGAGAGGATATAAGAGAGCGTCGTAAAAAATTGGCTTGGCCCCTGCACCAACCAACTACTATTTACTTTTTCAGTATGTCAAGATAGTCCGCCATTAAGTGCACATCTGCCCTGCGATTGGCTGGCAGCCGGTTCAGGGTGTCCCCCGCATGCTGCCCGAAGACTGCTGGGATAGGCTCCAGCTCCCCCCACGACTCTTGGGAGGAAAGAAGCGGATCGCAAAATGAATGAATGAATGAATGAATGAATGAATGAATGAATGAAAGTGCACATCATTTCATGACCTTGATCAATTTTGTTCGATGCATTTTTGACTGACATTCTCTTTGTTCGCACCAACCAATCAACAGTCTAAATAAATAACTACAAGTCAGAATCAAATAATTACTCCCGCTGCTGTTTTGTCACCTTTCAAGTCCTCAAAAGAGGGACAAATAGTCACTTTAGAGGCCAGGCGTGTCGTGTCGTGCATGCTGTCCTTGATGTCAGTGGAAGGATGACTAGAATCTCCGCTGGACAAACCAACACGATCACGGGACCTTGCTCGAGAGGTCATTCGGAATCACCCAAAAAAAAAATAAAAAAGAGGGACCACTTGTGTTTGACAAATATTCATTCAAAGTTTGAATAAATTGTTTTATTTCGCTCCGCTGTGATGACTTTTCCCTGCCCCAAGCGCATCTGCCACCTGTCTTTCTCACATGGGGTCGCCATGGCGACCGCATCACCTCGGGACACTGCTGCACACCCAATGATGAGCGGTCCAATCATGCTGTTCTCCAAAGACAAATGTACTGTCTCCCACTTTCTTTTCTCCGTTCAATACTAACGCCATCAACACAGCGCAAGAGGAAAACTCGATTACGTAACACACGAGGAACATCATTTTTTTTTTTTTTTTTCCCCTGGGGGTGACAAAACGCCGCATGGCCCCCAGAAGCCTTCCAGTGTGCGGATGGAGTGTTCAAGCATGCATTGCGAAACGCTGGCAGTGCTGACTTCAGCACACAATTAGAAGCAACGGATTTCCTCACACATCACTGACAATCATCACCAATAGGATGACATTTTTTTTCCTCCCAAGTCTTCTGAAATCACCATTTGTTAGGAAGTGTGGAAACTGTCCGCTTTCAGGAGTGAAAGCTGAGAGTCAACAATTCCTAATTGCTCATGTGCATGAGAAATTGCATTCGCAACACATTCGGAACGACAGAACAAAATGTGCAGCGCATTCTGGATGAGTCACCAGTTTATATCTTACGCCTTTGTTGCTTCAGTTGTGACGTACGCAGCCCAGAAAAATGAAGGAGTGTTCGTACCCTCTTGAAAAGTGAAAGGAAATCTAGTACAGTATATGAATTGCAACTCGACTGTAACAGAAGTGTCGGACGCCAACAGCTTCATAGGTAAAAGTGTAGCGCTCATATTCGGACTTTTTAATGGCTTGTTTGGCTAATATTTGATTAAAAAAAATGTGTATTTCACTAAAAGTTACATTTTTCCGATACCAGTATGACTATTCGAAAAAATATTTTTTTTTCTCTGATATTCTTGTACTTTTATGGGTTTTCCTCCCCAGCGTGGACCACCTACTCGTCCCATCGAGGCACACGCCACTCATTCGAGTTTTATGACACCTGCTCTGTTTACAACCTACAGGGGGCATATTTGCACCATATCTGGAGATTGCTGTAATATGCTGCTATGTATCGACTTTTTCTTTGTCCTTTACACACTCAGTTTAGCTGGAAGGGGAATTGCACTACCCCCCCCCCCACACACACACACAAAACAAGGTGATGTTGAATGAGAAATTTGAAAACGAGCACTTTAATACACCCACATCATCAGTCATTTTGACTTGGCAAGCAAACTGAATGCACAAGACATGCACTGTAGACACACACACACGCACACACACACGCACACCTCACTCAAATCCGTTTCCAGCCGTGGGCATGTGTTCTCTCGAGCAACACGTGCCGGAGTCATGCACGACCGTCTGCAGGTAAGGAGCTTCTTTTTACTCACCGGCTCGAACGGGGGACGTGCACAGGAAGCCGAGAAGGATCACAGACCGCCACAAAGACCCAAACATCCCTCCTGCCTCCCGGCTTGGTCTTCCTCCTCTTCTAACGTGTCTTTCCACACGGCGTGGCCCATTTAGAGCATCCCCCGAGGGACGCACGCATCATCCAGAAGCTCCTTGCGTTTGCGGCGGCGACGTCGACCGAGGCTCGCCGCAGCAGGAGGAGGCTGAGGATGATGAGGTTGATCATGAGGAAGAGGAGTGTCCAGCTGTTGGAATGTACGTGGTGCAGTCTCTCTTTCGCTCTCTCTCTCTCACACGCTCTCTCTCTCTCTCTCTCTCTCCCCCTCTCCGCCTCTCGC